ATTTTTACTCAAAGTAATGATTGCAAGACTGAAAATATATTCGTTAAACATTATATTTTATTATTTTATAAATATATTTATCACGTTTAAGAAGATAGATAATTAGCAAAATACATTTGTCAGTCAATTATAATAAAAAAAGTAATCAAATGTCTGAAAGATAATCAACCGTCGAGGAAAACGTTTCCTTCAAACCTTGGAGAAAAGCGTGGGCGCAATTTCGTTGACAACATTGATAAGATAAGACGAATAGTCTCAGATAGGATCGAATAAGTGGCAACTGCCTAAGGAGTTCGAATGGAGGAAATCAGTGAAATCAAGCGAAGAAAATCAACCGTCGAAAGAAAACGCGGCAGATTATTATATGAGATCGAAATGGCGATTGGAAAAATCGTAAACCGCATCCGGCGAAATTCAATTCGCTCTTCGATTTATGAACTACGCTCTAAAGAAAATCTATCAGTCATAAATTGATTTTTATTGAATGTATATCGCGCGCTCGACAAAAGCAGACATTCGGAGTTTATGCGGATATCATTAATCTAACGTTAACGTTAATGCGAACGATATCAGATTAAATTAGAGATAACATCGAGTTATCGGACAGAGTCACAACATATGTAACGCGACATGTGCAACATCCTCATCGTGTCGATGATAACACGACGGAATATAATTCCATAATATAATTTAGCAAATATCCACGTCTTAGAAAGGTTTATTTTTTCGCGCGCCATTTTTCTAAGGCTTCGGTGAGCGTTCGGAGGGCGCGCTTTATATCCAGGCGTGAACTTTAAACGATCATTGGCGAACGTTCGTTCGCGATAACTGCCGCATTTTGCGATTGCAGAAGAGACGATTTATCGATTCCCGCGAGACGATTCGGCCGCGACTGAACGACTGAAAAACGACTCTCCGCGACCTCGAAAGTATTTTTCGATCTTTTACGACGTCGTCCAGCGACAGCTGCGAGATGGACTGTTCCGACCGGGGAACTTTAGAAGCTATTCCTGTATATTATCGCATAGACTTCTCTCTTTTTTATTAATTAACACAGCAGGGCTGGTCCGAATAAACTCGATATACTCGGGGACCGCTCGCGGCTCACGAAGTACAATATGCAAGAGCGGAATGACGGAACGTCACGAAACGGCAAAGACAAACTGCACCCATTTGCGGCACGTGAAGGGATTACGGCTAGATCCGGCATAAAGCCCGACGAATTGCGCACGAGAATACCGCTCGGTGAAAAGCGTTCCGAGCTGCATTTTTTTACGAATCCCGAGAACCGGAATACTCGGGGACTGTCCACATGTATGATGGGATTAAACTATCCACTTTCTAATATTCTATATATAATTTAATAGAAATATCTAAAATACGACAGATATAAAAAAAATAACGTAAAAGTGTAGAATGCAAGACCATATCCAGGCCGCGTTACGAAAATATACGGAGTAAAACGCAAACGATGATAATATCAAGGTAGAAGACAATCGCGTGCACTTTATCGCGTACACGTGTCAAGGAAGAATGGAGATAGCCTGTGACCGTGGCAGTTTACTTCGTGCTGTACATGGAACTTCAATACCGGACGGCAGGCGGCGGATCGACCTGATTTACATCGTGTAACCTGTGGAACTTCGATCGGAGAATGAGACCGGGAGAGGAATTGACGTCGTCGCGTGCAATGCAATATTCCCGACGAACGGTTTTTTTTCTCCTTTGCTCTCTCTCTCTCT